TGTAGAAGTGAAGGAAGAAGAAAATGAGATGTTGCTAAAGTCTCATGTGGAACTTCAAGATTCTAGAAGAGATGATGTATGGTTTCTTGATTCAGGCTGCAGTAACCATATGTGTGGGAACAAAAACTGATTCTCACACCTTGATGAAAGCTTTAGACAATCTGTAAAGCTCGGGAATAATTCTAAGATGATGTAACACCCCAAATTTTTAAGTCTTTAAAATTATAGTATCAGTCCTCGGATCCTCGCTTGAGCGAGAGATTCTCGCTTGAGCGAGAAAGGATCACCTTGGGAGGGTGAAATCCTGGACTATACTGGAAGATTCCCGCCTGAGCGAGAGTTGCCTCGCTTGGGCAAGAAATGGCAAACTGGGGCTGTTGACACTGTGAGGTTCTCGCTTGAGCGAGAATACCTCACTTGAGCGAGAGGGAACTTGTCGACATTGTGAGATTCTCGCTTGAGCGAGAGGGTCAGAGTTGAAGTTTTTAAAATGGGCGGGATTTTCTCGCTTGAGCGAGAACCCGACGAGACATCATTTAATGAGAAACCCCAAACACATTTTAGGGTTAAGAATTGAAGAGAGGTGAGAGAAGAGAGCTTTTCCAAGGGCAAGGAGCTTAGATACTCATCCAAGAGCTTGAGAAGAGGTAAAACTCTTGATTCTAACTCTCTTCTCCTCTTTAAAACTCATTTTTGGTATGTTGGATCTCTTCTCAAAAATGTGTAAAACCATGGAAACTCTCTCTTTCGAGTTATGGTTCATTTTATGTCGTTTGTACCTCGTAAACTCTTGGTTTTGAGTTAATATTCCAAGAATGAAAAGGAGTTTGTGGGTTGGCTCATGAAAAACCCAAAACCCTAGAGAGAGATAATGAGGTTAGAGAGGAAAGATGGGTGAAATGCTAGAGGTAGAAGATGAGTTGTTTTACAATGTTAAAATATGAAATGATATGTATGTGTTAGATGGTTGAAAACTCTTAATGAAAGTAGTATAGGACCATTGTGAACATGATAAATATCTTGTACGTTTAAATGATGCAATATAAGTTATGTATTTGTTATTTGGAATGAATGACTAACATCGTGTTATGTGGTGGGAATGAGGAAAGATCCTAAGTTTGGAAGTGGTGCCGGTGGAACATGCGAAGTCACCAAAAACCAAACCCAACACTCACCGAGCTAAGGATAAGTCTTTAATTTATGCATTATGTGGAAAATGGGTGGACTTTCTGTAAGAAAAATGAATTAAATGTTATTGGGGGAGTACCAATGGAAAGATGACTCAAGTGAATTAAATATTATTGGGAGAGTACCAATGGAAAGATGACTCAAATGTATTAAATGTTATTGGGGGAGTACCAATGGAAAGATGACTCAAATGAATTAAATATTATTGGGGGAGTACCAATGGAAAGATGACTCAAATGTTATTGGGGGAGTACCAATGGAAATATGACTCAAATAAATTAAATATTATTGGGGAGTACCAATGGAAATATGACTCAAATGAATTAAATATTATTGGGGGAGTACCAATGGAAATATGACTCAAATGAAATAAATATTATTGGGGGAGTACCAATGGAAATAAGACTCGAAACCTATTGGGGGAGTACCAATGGAAATAAGACTCGAATTATAATGACATAAATGATAAATCACTTAGTCACTACAAATATATATGAGTATGTTTGTAGTGATGATGGGTGTATTTATGGTTTATGTATTGGTGGAGTGCCAATGAAAATAAAACTCATTTTAGCCGACCAGAATGGGTTAGCGACTCTAGCTCGAGTTATGTAGCATGGTTTTTCAAAGGTATAGATGACGAAAAAGGTTTTTAAGAGTTTTTAAATCATATTACTGTTGACCGAGGGAACCAGGCGTTGGGCCAATTGGCCAAGACAGAAGCATTAGGCGTTGGGCCAACTGACCCAAGAAGTTATCAAGAATTTTGTCTTGTGGTGTTCAAGGCTTATCACCCCTTTGGGTGTGGTGCCTAAAAAAACTTCTTTCCTGAACCAAGATTACAAGTTCTTATAAAAAACTAAGTTTGTTGGGATGAACCGCACCTTTGGCATATCAAGCCATCCACCTCCTATCTTAACCCTCTTCTTTTATCCAATCATCTTTTTTCCGCTTCCAACATAAACAACTATCTAAGCCAAACCCTAAGCCACAACTTGCCTCGGAAAATGACTCACAAACTAGGCCAAAAATCAAGTTTGTCCCAGCCAAGTCACAAATCAACAAAGTATCGGTCAAATTGAAGCTAGACTAGGCCATAATTCAAGCAATCTTGGCTAAAGCTAATACACCATCCAATAACGATCGTAAAATTAGAGCCACCCCAAAGGAGGTTCACATCATGTGGTATGCGAGCCACTTCTTGTTTTGGTGTTAAGAGAACTTGTTTATTGTCCTTTTTGAGGTAGTAAGTGTCTTTAACTTTTTGTTTAGTCTTTTCTTTTTACAACCCAAAATTGTCCAAAACAAAAAAGTGTCAACCCAAAATTGTCCTAAACCAGAAAGTTCAACCCAAAATTGTCCTAAACCAGAAAGTTCAACCCAAAATTCTCCAAAACCAAAAGTGTCAACCCAAAATTGTCCAAAACAAAAAATGTCAAGAAAAGGCTCATACCAAAATCTGTCCAAACCAAAGTGTAAAAAATGAGTCAAAAGATAAAGAGTTATGAGTTCAAAGTATCAAGAGCATCCCCATTGTATGCCATGATGTCAAAACAAATCCATGCCCTCAAACAACAAATGGAACATATGAGGCTGTAATTTGATAGAAAAAATCATAAAAGGGAAGCCAAAGTAAAGCTACCAACCTTTTTATTAGCAAGATTGATCTAGAAGCCTATCTAAAGTGGGAAATTAAGATGGAAGAACTCTTCAATTGTAATTCTTACAATGAGGAGAAGAAAGTCTTGTTGGTTACTTTAGAGTTTAAGGAGTATGTCTTAAGCTGGTGGGATCAAGCCCAAAATGAGAGAGGTAGATGTGGTGCCAAACCAATTGGTACTTGGGAAAAGTTTAAGTTGGTGATGAGGAGTAGATATGCACCAAATGCCTATCAACAAACCAATCAAAACAAGGTGCAACGCTAACCCAAGACATTCCAAAATAATTTTGAGCCATTAGACTTCTTAAGGGATTTTAAATAGGCATTACAATTTAAATCCACAAGGAGAAAAAGAGAGTCTGAGTTCATGAGTGAAACACTTGTAATTAGGGTAGATTTGAGTGAAACACTTGTGAGTGAGAAAAACACTATGAGTGAGGAAACTACTTTGAGTGAGAGTGCCTTGAGTGAAACACTTGGAGTTGGTAAATTCTTTCCTCAAGAAATCATTGGTGTGCTTTCACAAGCTAATCAACGTGCGGAACTTAGTGAAGATGTGGATAATGTGCACTTGTTGGGGACAAACAAACATGAAGAATCAATTGTCATGAATCAAAGTGATTGTCATAAAATGTCACGTTTTGTTTTAACCAAAAATGTCATGGGTGTTTGTTCATTAGTAAAAGGGGTGATACTTGATGATTATGTAGAAATGTGGATTGAAACTAAACCTTAGAGAATTACAACTTGAATGGTTATAATCAATTTTGAGTTGCAATCACCTTGAGTGTGCTAATATATCACTGAACTCAAACTACAAACCTAAAATCAGAAATCTCACAAGAACCTAAGGTTTAGTAAAGATTTATACAAGGTTTGTGTACCAATTAAATCTAAATGCACTCTAATTCAAAGATGGTAAAAGTTAATCCATTTTCAATCTCAATGAATGAAAGAAACTATGAAAACTACCATAATAAGATTTCGCTCAGAGCATTTCTTGAAAGATATGAAAATTTTGAATGACAGTCTATGAGCTAATGAGTAGAAAAACAACTTTTATAACAAACTGATTCTAAGAGACATTAATCAATTAACCCTTTGTTTAATCGATTAACTGGTTTTAAAATCAATTGTTTTCTGTTGGATTTAATCGATTAACCAGAACCTTAATCGATTAACCAGATCAAGAATTTCAACCTGTTACTTATTGGAACTCCATTAATCGATTAGTTCCATACTTAATCGATTAACAAGTTTCCATAACCACTTAATCAATTATTTCATAATGTAATCGATTAACAGTGTTGAAAAATGTTTCTTTGTATGGAATATAAACCTCCTATGTGATGTATGTGAATACAATGTATGAGTTTAAAATATTTATGCATATAATCATGAAATGGATGGATGATATGTCTTATTTTAGAATGATATCAATTTTAAGCCTTGTGAGATTTTCATACTACGGTTTACCTAACCTAGACTCAATATAAACAATCATCTTAGGACTTCTATAAAAGGTAAAAGACTTCCCTAAGACTATGATGAACTTGAGTAATTCTATTGTCACATTTAATAGGTGTTTGACCATGCTTAGACCAAAGTCTAGTAATTGTTGCTTCATCCAAAGGATTTGAGCAAAATACACATCGGCGGCTATATATTCCACTTCAGTGGTTGATAGAGCCACACAAGCTTGTTTCTTGGTATGTCATGATACTAGTGAACTTCCTAATAAGTAACAAGTATCACTACTACTTTTCTTATCCATTTTTCATCCAGCAAAGTCAGAATCGCAATAACCTACTAAACTTAATGAGGCATCTCTTGGATACCATAATCCCATACTTAATTATCCTTTTAGATATTTCATGATTCTTTTGGTAGCCGATAAATGTATTTCTTTAGGACTGACTTGATATCTATCACACATGCAAACACTGAACATAATTTCATGCCCAATATATGTTAATTGAACTAATTAGCCAATCATGCCACAATATTTTGTTACCTCAATTGTTTTACCTTTCTCATGTTTGTCAATAAAGCATGAAGTTGCCAATGGTGTAGTTGCGTCTTTTGACTTTTCCGTGTCAAATTTCTTTACAAGATCTTGGTAATATTTTGTTTGATGAACAAATATCTCATTGTCCATATTCTTGATTTGTAGCACAAGAAAGAAAGTCCTCTCTCCCATCATGAACATTTCAAATCCACCTTTCATTAACTCAGAAAAGTTCCTGCATACATCATTAGTGGCTCCAAATATGATACCATCAACATATATTTGCATTAATAAAATGTCTTTTTCAGTTTTTAGAATGAAAAGTGTTGTATGAAGCTTTCCCCTTGCAAAGCCCTTTTTCCAAAAGGAAGGTGCTTATCATGTCATACCAAGCTCTAGGAGCTTGCTTTAAACCATATAAAACATTTTTCAGTTTGAAAACATGATTTCGAAATCTGTAGTTTTCAAAACCAGGAGGTTGATCCATATATACATCCTCTTGAATAAAGCCATTAAAAAACACACTTTTCACATCCATTTTAAATAACTTGAAATGCAAGATTGATGCAAAGACTAAAAGAATTATTATGTCCTCTAACCTTGCCACGTGAGAATATGTTTCATCACAATCAGTGCCTTTTTCTTGATTATAACACTTAGCTACTAATCTAGTTTTATTTCTTATAATTAAGCTGAACTCATCTAGCTAATTTCTAAAAAACCGTTTGGTGCCTATTATTGGATGATTATTGGGTCTAAGAAATAAATCTCAAACTTTATTTCTTTCAAACTAGTTTAGTTCTTCTTGCATAGCTAAAGACCAATGGTCATCCTCAATAGCCTCTTTAATGGTCCTAATCTAAATTTGAGAAACAAATGCAAATAAATTACAAATATTATGCAAGGAATTTTGGGTTACCACTCATTTAGTTATATCACCTATCACATTGTCAACTGGGTGGTCTTTTTTTGTTTTTCATGCTTGGGGCATCCCTTCAGGCTCTTGGTATGTGCTTTTCTTATCTTTCATACCCTTTTCAGATTCTTGATCATTTGTGTATGCATCCTCATGTGCACCTAAAAGATCATCACGTAACACCCCAAATTTTAAGTCTTTAAAATTATAGTATCAGTCCTCGGATCCTCGCTTGAGCGAGAGATTCTCGCTTGAGCGAGAGAGGTTCACCTGGGAGGGTGAAATCCTGGGCTATACTGGAGGATTCTCGCCTGAGCGAGAGATGTCTCGCCTGGGCGAGAAATGGCATTTGGGTCTGGTTGACACTGTGAGATTTTCGCTTGAGCGAGAGGGTCAGAGTTGAGTTTTTAAAATGGGCGGGATTTTCTCGCTTAAGCGATAACCCGACGAGAACATTAAATGAGGGAAATCCCAAACACATTTTAGGTTAAGAATTGAAGAGAGGTGAGAGAAGAGAGCATTCCCAAGGTCTAGGAGCTTTGATTCTTGTTCAAGAGCTTGAGAAGAGGTAAAACTCTCTATCCTAACTCTCTTCTTCCCTTGAGAACCCATTTTTGGTATTATGGATCTCTTCTCAAAATGTGTAAAACCATGGAAACTCTCTCTTTCGAGTTATGGTTCATTTTATGTCGTTTGTACCTTGTAAACTCTTGGTTTTGAGTTAGTATTCCAGGAATGGAAAGGGGTTTGTGGGTTAACTCATGGAACCCCAAAACCCTAGAGAGAGAAAATGAGGTTAGAGAGGAAAGATGGGTGAAATGCTAGAGGTAGAAGATGAGTTGCTTTACAATGTTAAAATATGAGATGATATGTTTGTTTTAGATGGTGGAAAACTCTTAATGAAAGTAGTACAAAACCATTGAGAACAAGATAAATATCATGTACGTTTAAATGATGCAATATAAGTTATTTATTTGTTATTTGGAATGAATGACTAACATTGTGTTATGTGGTGGGAATGAGGAAAGATCTTAAGTTTGGAGGTGGTGCCGGTGGAACTTGCGAAGTCACCAAAAACCAAACCCAACACTAACCGAGGTAAGGATAAGTCTTTAATTTATACATTATGTGGAAAATGCGTGGACTTCCTGTTATGGATGATGAATAAAATGTGAATCACTTAATCATTATGAACATATATGAGTATGTTGATAATGGTTAGAAGTGTGTTTAAGGTTTACTATTTATTGGGGGAGTACCAATGGAAATAAAACTCGAAATGAAATCATCAAATGAATTAAATATTATTGGGGGAGTACCAATGGAAATATTACTCAAAAGAATTAAATATTATTGGGGGAGTACCAATGGAAATATGACTCAAATGAATTAAATATTATTAGGGGAGTACCAATGGAAATATGACTCAAATGAATTAAATATTATTGGGGGAGTACCAATGGAAATATGACTCAAATGAATTAAATATTATTGGGGGAGTACCAATGGAAATATGACTCAAATGAATTAAATATTATTGGGGGAGTACCAATGGAAATATGACTCAAATGAATTAAATATTATTGGGGGAGTACCAATGGAAATATGACTCAAATGAAATAAATATTATTGGGGGAGTACTAATGGAAATAAGACTCGAAACTTATTGGGAGAGTACCAATGGAAAGAAGACTCGAAATATAATGACATAAATGGTAAATCACCTCGTCACTACAAATATATATGGGTATGTTTGTAGTGATGATGGGTGTATTTTTATGTACTGGTGAAGTGTCAATGAAAATAAAACTCGCTTTAGCCGACCAGAATGGGTTAGCGACTCTAGCTCGAGTTATGTAGCATGGTTTTTCAAAAGTATAGATAACGAAAAAGGTTTTAAGAGTATTTAAATTATATCACAGTGAAAAACTATTAAATGTGGATTAACTGACATTGAGTTTTATTGAATTAATGACTTATTCCTTTGTGTTGTTTGTGCATGGTAAATGTTAATCCCATTGCAGGTAGGTGGACGGAGAAGGATGATTTTGAGTAGGGGATTAGAGACTTTTGTTTTTGATGTCTCTTTATCCATTCTTTTGTAACTTTAACTGATTTTAATTGAAGTAACTAATTGTACTATGAATATTATTTTTGTACATGATATTGATCATGAGAACTAGTAACTCGGGATATATGTAGCTATGGGTGTTTTGGAAACCCATAGCTAATTGTATGCGGGGATTAATGAATTATGTTTTTCTTCTATCGAATGTTGAATGTTACTTATGGTTCAAAGATAGGGTGTGAATGTGAAGTGTGACTTTTAAAATAAAATTAATCACTCGGTAATTATGATTGATTGTTAAATATATGGAATTGGATTAAATAAGGAAAAAATTTCAAGGGTAGAATTTCGGGTCGTTACAATATGGTATCAGAGTGTAGTTAATCTTGCGACCTAGGGTATGGCCTTGCATGCTTCTTTGTATCCTTATGTGTTGCAGTTGTTTGAATGATGCTAAATGTTAAGTGTTGTATGCACTATATTTATACAATTCGCTTACTAACAATTGAGTGAGTACAGGTGATCATGGCAGGAAGAGGAAGAGGAAGAGGGGTGAGTCAGAACGTCCCGAATGATTTGTTAGCTCAAATGGTGGCGGCGCTACAGCAGGTCAATGCGAACTTGCACAATCTAAACCAGAACCCGGCACCAAGTCCGAGTTCACATCCACTAGTTCCACCAGGACCGGCGGAATATTGGGGCTTAGATGAGTTCTGCAGGAGGAACCCCACTCAGTTCCAAGGGGGATTTGCTCCTGAAGCTGCCATCGAGTGGATCCAAGGGTTAGAGCGGATCTTCAGAGCCATGAACTGCACTGAGGCTCAGAAAATCACCTATGCTACTTACATGCTGGTGACAGAGGCTAAGAATTGGTGGGAATATACTCGGCGACAAATGGAAGTTGAAGGTCGACTGATCTCTTGGGGTACCTTCAAGGAGAAGTTCCTTCACAAGTAATTTTCTGCTGATTTGAAGAGGAAGAAGGAGATTGAATTCCTGAAGCTGGAACAGGGGAACATGTCAGTCGGAGACTATGCGGCCAAGTTTGAGGAGTTGGCCCGGTTTTGCCCCTACGCCAAGTTGGAAATGGACGGAAGGTCCAAATGCGCCAAGTTCGAATCGGGTTTGAGGCCCAAGTTGAAAAGTATGTTTGGGCACCAAGAGATTACCGATTTCCCTACCCTGGTGAACAAGTGTAGGGTGTACGAAGATGATTTGGAAGCTGATGAAGCGGTGACATCTAAGGTGGTTCCTCCCAAACACTTTGGACCTCAACGAAACTTCACTCACGGAAAAGGGATGGGAAAGGCGTTTCATGAGGATAGGAAGCCTTATTTTCCTCCGACGAATAATCGGAGTTATCATTCGCATGGGTCGAGGACTCATGTCACTGCTGGAGGGTCCCGTTTGAACGCTCCCTCTCTGTGCAACAAATGTGGCCGAGTGCATGTCGGCGACTCGTGCCCCGGAATGGCCCTCACTTGTTTTCATTGCAAGGAAGTGGGACATGTTCGAATAAATTGTCCTAAGCTACCGCAGAGCGTGAATACTATGAGGGTTGAACGACCTCGATCCACAGGCAGAGTGTTCACCATGAGTGGGGCAGAGACATCGGGCGTTGATGGCCTGATTAAAGGTAATTGCATGGTGTCAGGTATTCCTATTTTAGTGTTGTTTGATTCGGGAGCGAGACACTCCTTTGTATCCCTTGACTGCGTGGACCGACTGAATTTACAAACTGAGTCGTTGCCTTACGACTTGGTCGTATCCACCCCAACTGATGTGCCTGTGGTGGTGTCGACAGTTGTGTCTCGGTATCTAGTGGTGGTAAATGGTAGGGATTTTACCGTGGATTTAATCTGCTTACCACTATCCCAGTTAGATTTGATTTTGGGGATGGACTGGTTGTCAGAAAATCATGTGGTGCTTAATTGTGCTGATAAGACCTTGACGTTTGGAAATCCAGAAGGGATTTCGGAGGGAGTCAGTTGTATGGGGCCGATGTCGGCATAAGAAGTCAGGACTTCCTGTAAGGAGGGAGGGACGGTGTTCAAGTTGTTGGTGTCCCTGGAAGGTATTGAGAAGTCCAAAGTTGAGGACATTCCCATAGTTCGTGAGTTTCCGGAAGTCTTTCCTGGTGATATTCCGGAATTACCTCCCGTGAGAGAAGTTGAATTTTCCATTGATTTAGTGCTGGGAACGGGACCCATCTCTATAGCCCCTTATAGAATGGCTACGTTGGAGTTA